CCGCGGCTGCCAGGGCTCCAGAGTCCGGCCTCGCTGTTGTAAAACCTCCGGCTTTGGCAGCCTGCTCCGCTGCTTTATTCTTTTTATTTTCCCGGGGCAGGTCAGACCCGCTGTAAGTGCCCTGAGGGAGTTGTGCAGCTTCACCGTCCCCGGGCGCCTCCGCCTGCTGCCGGGCAGCAGAAGTGAAGCGTCCTCTCCGGGCCGGAGTTTCGTTCCCAGCTTCTCGTGGACGTCGCTTTGTTGCGGAGCATTTGAACTAAATACCTACCGACTTAGATTAAACCAGCCTCCTGTCAGGAGTGCAGGCAGTTCAGATATGTGAGGATTGAGTAAGCTATGCAGAGGCTTACAGAGCAGCTAGTGATGAGGTGGGTAGGAGTATGGGCACCCAGGTGTAAGACTTTAATCACCTCCATGGGGTTTTATTTTTAACAGCAGCCCTCTGTTGAAAAGCCTCACTTGAGACTTACTAATTTGTACCAGGATCTGTCTGGTATAACAACTCCTGAGCTGTCCAGACAGCGGGTAGCTGCAGTAGTGGGCTGCAAGTGCTGCTCAGTCAAGGAGAATAATAGTGCAGGAGACAGTACAGATTTGGAAGAACGATGAGATTATTGCTTTTGGTCTAAATGTAGACTAGTGACTGTCACTGAATGATGCTGGCCTGTAAATTTGCATTCTGCTGCAGCTGAGAGGATACGTACAGCTGGGAGGTGCAGTTTTGTATCCGCAAACTAAGGACTGCTTAAGGACCATGCTGCGGATGCTGCCTTCCCTGACAAAAGTAAAAGCCACCCATTGTATCTTATTTGGTAATTGCTGAATGGTTCATCGCAGTGGCTAGTTTTGTTTACATTTTAATAGAAAAGAAAGATTTTTTTTATGAATTTAGGAAGAAGCTCACTCTGGGAGGTGTGGAAGATGGCGTGCTCTCTGCAAGAACCAGAGTTCACATCTAACTTCTTCCAGCTCCCTTAAGAACTTTCAATGTCTAGTTGCAACACATGATATCTCAATTTTCGACTTGTCATACAAGCAAGTTAATCATTAATGAATCAGAGAAGTTTAGCAAGAGTTTGTCTTGATAAGATACCTCTGATCTACAGTGAGCTGCGTGTTTTGATGACTTCAGTTCATCTTGCATTTTAATAGATGTTTCTTCCAAGCTGGAAATTTCTAGCATCTCCACCACATTTTCTGTCAAGTCTTTAAGTCAGGACCATCTCCTGGAAAACTTCCATTTCACCTCAGACTGACAAGTCCTCCCTCTGTTCTTCTTTCTGAGGATGTGCTTCCCAGTTTTTTACGCTTATTCTTACCCTGTGTGTATGTTGCACGAACATATGTGTGGTTCATTGTTGTGACGTTTTGGCAAAATCACTGCCTGTTCCCATGCTTTTGTTTCTTGTCCTCTTCCTGTTTTCCCTTATTACCAAGTAGAATAAAACTTAAAAACATTTCAGAAGTTTCAGGCACCTCTAACCCACAGGTCAGGGTAGGAATTCATCCTCTTTTTCAGTGGGGGGGCTCTGAACCATGAAGATCTTACAGCATCCATTACCTCTGTAATAATGCTCCTTACGTGGTTTTTTTTTAAAGAGGGCCCGTATGGGATTTTCGCTGGAAGAGATGCATCCCGAGGCCTTGCCACTTTCTGTCTGGATAAGGAGGCTCTGAGAGATGAGTATGATGACCTCTCCGATCTCAACGCTACACAGCAAGAGACCTTGAGGGACTGGGAGTCACAATTCACTTGTAAGCAATTTTAAACTTATTTCCAAACAAGTAGCTAACTGGTGTGTAATAAGGGGAGCAATGGTTAAAAGGCTTGTGTCAGCTGGAAACATCATTCTGGAAATTTATTTTGAGTTAATGTCTCAGTTTACTGAGTATTACTAGAATTACTCAAAAGAATTAAGAGAAATGTTCCCGTTCGGTCCCCATGTGTTGCCTGATCTAGTCGAGAAGTGGCGTCCCTGGTGGCAGGGAGGTTGGATTAAATGATCTCTAAGGTCCCTTCCAGCCTAGGCCATTCTAGGATTCTGTGATTCTATGTCAGGTTTTCCTTCTGTGTTCTCGCTCCCTTTGCTCCTTATAGAACAGCAGGGGAGATGGAAGCACTCTGTCATAGGCTAAGATCTGTAAGACCACCTAAAAAACTGACAGAATTGGAAATTAAGAGCATGGTTTTGATATAGTTAAAATCCCTGTCTATAGAGACGATTAGATTTTAATGCTCTGTAAAATGAAGCTTATGTCTGCTTCTCAGAAATGTGAGTCACATTTGAATTACTACTTCCTGAGGATTTTGAGTTTTGAAGACCTTTTAAACTAGGCCCTTGGAGCTCTTGATATAACGTTGTGGGGTTTTTAACTCCAAATAAGTAATTCTGCATGGCCTTGCTGGTGGCTTTATTGGGCAACTGTATCCAGCAGACTTTCTCCTCCAGAAGGTGATCAGGAATGGGCAAATGCCGTTTCTATACTTAGTATTAAAAGCTGAAAAAAAGGTAACTCCAGCTGGTTTGTATTGCGTGTCTCAACTAGCTGCTCAAAAAGAAGAACTTCAAGCCACAGCTTTGTGGAAATTGCTTTGTTGACCTTGTACCAGGGTATTCCCACTGGTGTGATTTTTTTCTTTCTTCTCATATTGTGTATTTTGTTGATGAAAAATAATTCCTCCATATCTCATGCTGGCTTTTAGGCAAGTGAACACCAAAGGGATTATTTCTACTCAGATAAGACAAAAAATAGATGTATCGGTTGTTTGTCCTGATGAATTTTTATCTATATATATAATGGAAATTGCATACATAAAAAAGTAGTGTAGTGGAAATCAAATGTCTTTTGTTTTTAAATCTGCTGCTTGGTATTAAAGATTTACTATCACTAGCTAGAATGGAGCTTTCCTCTACATAATGTCATTAGAACATCTCAGACCTGACCTTAGGTGCCCTTAGTATTTTGGCTTTCTTCTGTCTTAACCAAGACTGTTAATCATGCCGCACTGAATGGCTGTTTTATGATGCTGGCAAGTGTGTGACAGAAACCAGAACTGTGCTACCAAATATCCAACCTAAACCAGTGCTTAAATCTACCTTTTCAAGAGTCAGGTCAGGACTGACAGTGAACTCACTCTTTTATTATTATGTTTCTAGTAACTTTGGCACTTAGTTGTTTTAAGTTCTTATCAGTTGTAACAACGCTGATCCAAAATACCTGTAGTCTTTTGCTTTGTTGAAGTTGACAGATGGACAACACGGCACAGCTCTCCTTTCTTACATGGACCTGATCTTGGCGTTTTCACATGTTGAAAAAGAGATACAAAATAAGGCAGAGGCTTAGCTACATAATCGGATAACGGATCTGTCTTTATCTTAGAGAGAGAGGATCTCTCTTCTGTCCTATGGGATATTTTCAATATATATTACAAAAAATAAAAACTCTTGGAAGGTGTGTACACGTGTGCACATCCGTATGTGCGTGCCTGTATAATATATAACACTCCAAGAACTCCACTGGTTGAAAAACTAGCTCCCACGTTGGCAAGAGACATCATCTAAGCCAGGATTCTGTTTCTTTAGCTGGATAAGTCCCTCGGTTTACATGTGTCTCTGCATTCATTGATCGTTTGGCTTAGGCAATAGGAGGAGAATTGTATTCAGTTTGGACATCTCTTAAATTTACTACAACATTAATAGTAGTTCAGATAGTTGGTTTCGGCTTCGGCTTTTCTCCTTCCCCCCATTGTTTGGAACAAGTTGCTGAGAGCTGTTTTATTATAATTTAGGCATTTTGTTAATTCAGGAAACAGACATAGGAGTTTAAAAAGTACAACTTCAGGGCAGAATAATGACTTGGATTCTTTTTTTTTCCCCCCAGTTAAGTATCACCATGTTGGTAAGCTGCTGAAGGAAGGGGAGGAACCCACTGTATACTCTGATGAAGAAGAAAAAGATGCTCACGATGCAAAGAAAGACTAGAGAGTGCAGTGATTAACAATCTGGTGTTCAATCATAAAGGATCATTTTTAACATTCCACTTCTGTTTCACAAGTTGCAACAGCAGCATTGCTTGCAAAAGGTCCAGAGTTATGATGAATCGTTTCTTTTCAAAGACTTACTTTTCAAATTCAGTAGTAAACTACTAAGATCTGTCTTCCTTTAAACCTGCACAATCTGAAGTATGCACTAAAAGTGTCTGTGCAAAAGTAAACTGCAATTTTGGCAATAAAGGACAATTACTGTTTTTCTTCTATCACCAGTAGGTTGAAATCCAGATTTTCATTAAGAACCTAGCACTGTGGAAACAAGCACAAGAGTAACTTCACATATGCAACACAAATTCCACTAAGTCTTGTTTTACATTAGCTTCTGGAGGATCTGAGCCTTGAGTTGTAATTCCTTTAGAAAAGGGACTATATTTTACTTGTCCACGAAGCATCATACTCATTCGTGGTGCAATGTAACTCAATATTATGTTAAGATAATTCGGCTTTTAAGGAATTACATAGTGGCCTACAGATGAAACATTAACTGCTTTTTTTAAAAAAAAAACTTTGAGAGGTTAAATCACTTTTAGATACTTACAAAATTAATAAGGTGATGAATACTTGACGTATTCAGTCATGCATAATTATGCGTGGATTAATATGCTGTGTTTACTTTGAAAGCACATCTGAAGTGTTACAAAGGTTTAGATACTGAAGGTAAGCAGGCATCCCTAAAACCAGGTACGCCATGAAGTGTGACTCTTAGTAAAACTCTTTGTGTGAATTTTAATGAAATTATATTAAATGGGAAAACCAGCTGCTAGTGATTCTTAGCCCTAAAAAAGAGACTTGCTGGTACGGCGTGATTAACAAAGTGCTCTTGTACATGCAGCTTGAACTAGCAGAGAAACGTTACTGGTCAGTGGAACGTAGACAAGTTTCCTGTACAAAATAAAGTAACATGGTGTAAGCTGTGTCTGTGTTGAGGCCTTTGTTGCTTTGGGATGTTACCACTGAAAGAAACGGCACAACCTCATGCATAACCAGCGATGTGATACCTGGAGGACCTGTCTTTTGAATTGCTTTTTACTTATTTGCTCTCTGGGCTCACATCTGTGCTTAATTACTAGGTTGGTTCCAACTGTGTAACCAAGTCTCCTCCCAGAGGGGCTGAGTAAACGGATTGGACCAAGGAAAAATGTAAATGTTCTCCTTCATAATCCAAAACACTACTGTAAAACCTTCTCAGAAATGCCAAGGAGGTAACTAATGATGTGCTGATCACTCGTGAATGTGTTTCTTGTCCAGGTGATTGTGCCGGGGTGCCTGGCTGGTAGTTGCCCCTGGGGAGTGTCTCTGGTTTGGCTGGCTGCCCGTGCTGTTTCAACCTGGCAACACAACCAAGGGGGTGAGCTGAGTCCCGAGTGGGAAGGTGTAAACTAGGCAAAATTGGTCAAAAGTGGGGGGCACTGCACAATGGCAGCTTTCATAAACGAGTTGACAGGACACATTAAAAGTGCCTGAGACCATCCGTGATGAGAACAAAGGACTTTCCCGCAGCCTGAATGCTCTCGTGGCATTTTCTCTTGGCTACGCTGGGCCTTCAAGCGAAGCGTGTGGTTGTTTGAACCAGACAGCTTATTATGTACAGTGGCACTATGTGAACTACCTAATGATAGTCTAGAGACAGATGTAAATCTTAACACCTTTGTGTTGCTATTTCATTTTTAGAGACATTTATACTCTTTGCAAACTACTACTAATGGTTTACCTCAAATCAGAAATGTGGTTTTTATTTGTTTAAGGCAGAAAATAAAGTACTCTTGCATAATGGTGGCATTTGTTTTTATTTACTGCAACTAAATGTGATATTTAATCCTTCCCCAACGTTGCAAGTTTTATGTTGCCTTTCTCCAATGTCTTACATTATCCAACACATAAACGGCGTATAATATATTCTAAGTGAATGCCTGTAACTCTGGTTTTGCAGTGTAACTTTAAAAGAATATTAAATATAGAACACACTTGTTTTGTGTAATACGCTTTGCTCTCGCAAAAACAGTTTAGGTAAAGAGGCCCAAGTAATTGTTAACACCGAGCAAAAGCTGGAGCTTTGGAAGGCTGTCATGTACTGGAACGAGGCTGGGCTGTAACCTACCCTTCAGTGGACTCTAAGTCAGTCCATAACATATCCTGAGGAAGTGCACACGATTTTAAGCATTAATCTGTACGTTACAACACAATGCATCACAAAACCCAATAATAAAAAATAAAAACTACACAGAAAACTGGCAGTAACACAAGACAAAGCTTAATGTTATGCATTCGTGCCTCTTGGGAAGGAAGTATCACACTTTGGTAAGGTCACTACTTTTTTTTCAGAGAAAGAAAAGATAATTCCTTGCGAAAGGGGAAGACACATGTTACGAAAGCAGCAGTTTCATAAAGCTGCAGGCACGGATTTTATTTTCTACTACAGTGTTGAAGAAAATGGATGGGGTTTAGCTTTTTGACTCTGTTCACTGCAGCTTGATCCCTTCCTTCACCAGTGAGCAGCTGCAATGACTAAGCAAAAAGAGCTGTGCCAGGCAGCTTATCGGGCTGTACGTTAACGACATAGGACGTGATGACCAACAAAGAGCAGAGACTGTCAGCAGCCTCCCCATCTGAAGTGCCTCAACACTTGCTTCTTGCGTTTGTCATACTTGAGGGGCTCTAGGACAAAGCGAAACAATTGAGTAGCAACTTGTTTTCAACCAGTTCTGGCATTCTGTCAGCTGCTTTGCGAAATTCAGATATTCTTTTGTCTGGACTCTACCTGCTCTTAATCATCTTTCTTAGCTCTTGCTTTATGCTGTTTCAGTTAAACAAAAAAAAAGTTCAGTACTGAATGCTTATGTTGGAAGTTATGTAAGGCGATTTTCAAAAGGTGAGGCATTTCTATGCATTGCCTGGAATCTCTGGATTAAGGACAGGGCTTTATATGGTAATGGCTGTGTTCTCGTATTTCAAGCAGATGGACAGATGCAATAATGGGCATTGTGTACTTCTGCTTTACGAAACAGCCCACAGGATTTTGACTTGAGCATTCAGCATGAGGTATAACCAACAGGCCACGTATTTCCAATAACAAAGCTTAGTTCATCTCCCCTGAGATGACTTCTGTTCTCAGCAGCTCTACACGGAAGCATTTTCATTAGTTCCATACAGAAAGTTAGGTTTGACTGCAAGAGCTGCAGTCTCAGGGCCCTATTTCACACACAGCAGAATAAAGTGTTCCATAAAAACACTCCAACCTCCTGAAACACCAGCTGAGTACAACAGCACACGCCAGGCTGAAACCAAAAGGTGTGAAATTATGCCAGCAATGTTACACATTTCCATTGCTGAACTATATAAACATTGCTTTTAATGCATCTTTTCAATATTAAATATTCTAGTTGTCTAAACATTCTGTAACTTTCATAGTTGGGATGTGACATTCCTGTAACTATTGACATTTCAGCTACAAAGCTATGTATTCTTAAAGGTTTAAAAGCAAACTGTTACATGTTTCTATAAAGATTAGCCTTCAGCATAATAAACAAAATCATACTGAATAGCCCAGTGTATGAAAGGATGAGACTCAAATTAAATGTGTCGATAGGAAAACAGATATTAACACCTGCGAGAAGAGGTTCTAAATAACGTCACCTGTAAACAAACAGGAAACGAGTTGTGTATGGAGATTACAATGGTGTCTCACATTTTAAAGTGCACTCAAATTTTATTTACTAACAATGTTTTACACAGAATGAGAACTTAGAGGATTCGCTTTATCAGTTTCAATCAATACAGGTGAATGCAAGAAGCAATTACAGAAGCAACGTCTTTATTTTGTTATTTAATATTGTGACAAGGTGTTGATAAAACACTGGAAATCTACACCAAAGGAAATCTTTAGTTCCTGGTCCCCTACATTAACAAAAAGAAACACTTCCTCACCTGCAATCGAAAGGCCTGTCTCATGGGAAATAGGTACTCCTGGATACAGAACTGTCTATAGACTGACAGAGGGGGAAGTTTTGTCCTCTTTAACCTGCAAATATTGCATAGAGAAAAAACACCCTTGGTGTGTCACATCAGTGCAACTGCAACATTTTACACGGTCAACAAATACAGTAGTTGATCTTCATTATAAAACATGAAAAAGGAGACTGAGGATGGGCACAAATGTTCTCCAAAACAGTCAGAAAATATTTCTGTCAAGAAAATAAGATCTTTTGAGATAAAAGTAAAAGATTAACAGTACTTTGAGTAGCAACCATTTGTCATTCATAACCCTGAAAAGGCACTCAACATCTGAACACATGAACTAAGACTGATAAAACCTGGCTTACAAGCCTGTGGGTATCACCAGGATTGAACACTGAGGGAAAACCTATCTACCGTGTACAATTACAATTTATTTTTTTATTACTATTTATTAGAGCAGAAGTTACAAACATGGGTAAGACTGTGTAATGAAGGCAACATTATCACATTAATTTAGCATAGTGACATGTAATAAATAAAACACACTAAAATAAAAGCCGAAATAATCAGTGTATTGAACTTAGAACTGGTCTTCCCTATCTTCCTGAGGGACTTTGTCCAAAAGCAATTGTGTCTGTCTTCTAAATACAGCCAGCTGAATAAATACGGATATAATTCAAGCTCCTAGACTGCGTTTTCACATTTTTACCTACATGCAGCACAAGTCTGACAACATTTCACAATTCCTCTGGAAATGACTTGTCAGCAAACTCATACCAAACAGCTGTCTCGCTATGTGTGCCTTCACAACCTTGTGAAGAAGTTTTTGACCTGCAGATACGTGGGGACCGTAAGCACACTGACAAGCACTGCCCTGTCACTACTTAATGTTCAGAACTTGGCTTAGACAACCACTCCGGTTCCTGGGAGCACTACATGTAGTTCGAGTTCAGTGAAATCTTTCCTCCCAAAGACCAGCAACTTTTCACAAACACCTCTAGAATTGTGAGTAGAAAACAAGCATTTTTACACAAGATGGGATTTTTTTTTCATATTTGGAAATTATTACTTCCAACAACTGAGTATAAATGTCTCCTACACCTTCCAGTCCCATCATTTTAACAACCTCATTTGGGAGGCACTTCATATGCTTGCTCTAGGATTAACATAGCTATTTTTTTTCCAATGACTCGTTATTACTAAATACTGTTACTTTGATATTTACATGGTTCTCTACATTTAATCAGAGTATAACACTCCAAGATCTCAGTTTGTATCCTTTCAAATTCTTAGCAACTGGTCCATGAACA